TATTCTTCGTTCCTCTGTGTACACAATATACTGTTCCTACTACTCTGGCCTCAAACGAATTCTCCTCTACTAAGTAACCATAGTCTGAAGATCGTAGTTGCTGGGGTTTAGCTTACTTAACCCCCTGCGATACTTCCATGGGTATCATAACTGAAGTTAAGATTTGAGAGTTAAAGCAAGGTTCTAAGGCAGGGCTAACAGGCTATGGCTCTTCCCACAGTTAACTAACTATTATGGCTGCGCTATATAGATGATGCATCAGTTATCGCAAATAAAGTACAGTTGGATGTGCTCTTTACTAAACCTTACTCAGCATTTGCGGGAACTGACTTTACATACGAAACCCAGGTTAATGCACAACTCCTATTCCTGAATGTTTTTGCACATTGAAAAAAACTGATGGAACACTTAATACTTCAGGGCATGAAAAGAAGGCGTATTCAGTGTCCGGCCTTGTTGTGCTACTTCCTGTCCAGTCGGCCTCAGGGGATTACACACATATAGTATCGGCCGTGCTTGATTGGATCCCGCTTGTAAGGAAAGACGATCGAACGATTGTTTATATTTAAACCTCCCATGTAAATGTATGGCCTGAGGAGAATTTACCGAAAGTGTACACTCACCAAATGGTGTTCTGAATTATTTGATGGGAATTTTTGCAACTTTAAAACCGAGTTCTGTCTTTAGTCTGCGAAATCGATCCAAGACTCACGGTTCGAGCGAAGAAAGTTGTCGAACTAAATAGAAGTGCCTTTCACATTATTTTCCCCAAATCGGCCTCTATCAACTTTGCGCGTCAGTTAATGCAATACTCAGAAGCTTAATTGTACATATCTGGGAGAAGGGGATCGACTCTTTTACCACTTTCTTCTTGAAGTTGATTGAGCAGCAGTAAAACCAGCCTGAAACAGAGGTTGTAATCATACAAAGTTTCTTCAACGAGCATGACTCACAGATTCCAGTACATTCTGGTGTAGCCGACCCTGCTTTCTACTCTGACATTTTGTTTTTTGCGGCCACAATCGAGCACGCGTACGGTTTGTGTTATTATCGGACATCAGGTCGGGTCATAACAAGTCACATAGCCGCTGGATCTAGTTCAGCACTGCAAGCGCGCTGAGCGTGTAGATCGATTCCACGGGATGTAAATGTGGTCAAATGCTCTGTAGAATGCTGTAAAAAAACAACTGGATGGAAAAAAGTAAGTTGAGAACTTGCCTGAATTCACAGTTCGGTTTTCTCGCCTGACTTTAAGAGACGGTCCTACTGATCTTGGATGTTGACCAAGAGTAGAGAAAACTGTGCTGTTGTCATCAGTTCACGCATAATCACAATTTCCAGATCTAAATCTGGACACAGAGAGGCGAAGTCGTTCAAGTTTCACTGACCATCCACTGTAGTTTTGCCATTCCGTGCGTAGCCATTGGTGAATGAAAGGTTCTGTTTCCTGGTTTTGGGAATTATGGGTCAAACATTTTATTCACCTCCCGTCGGTTCGATTATCGATATCGATTCCACGTCGCGCATCAGACTAGCTGTCCATCACATTTGCATTGAACATGTGGCTGAGGAAGGGCGTGCCAAATACTCATCCCTGGTTCAGCACACTTGTCCCGACGAGGACATCTGAGCATAGCCTCTTGTCCCAACGCAGACCTGCAGGACCATAAATTGCACCCCGCATTCGGAAGTCAGTTCATGGTCACAGTCCCAAATACCTTTTTTGAAATTAATGAAGACACACTAGAAGTCTGCCAGCCTTGTGGTCCCAGGGCTTCGAGGATCGGCTAGGCGATTGCACGACGTGCGTTGAATGTACCCTGTGCCTCTTGGAGAACACCCTCCGCCAGACAATTTGTCAGCAGGCAAACGAAGCTTTCGCAGTCCCTGCTCAACAAAGGGAAAATCGAAGGTGTTGGACAGTTTCTTTTGCGTTACTAGTGGCATACAAGTGTGGTATTCATGACGTCCTGGGACATTCATTCTTGTCTCCGTTTCCCATGTTACTAACAGAATCCTTCTTTCTAATCCTTAGCATCGTCACAGATGATGACCCTCATGGGAATCTTCCACACACTCATTCAATTGACACAGTTGAGAGCACCGGGCTGATACTTTGAGTCATAAGGCGGGCTCTCCGGAAGATATTTATTCATAGGCTGACCTGTAGGAGAGCTTATTCACGATTACCAAAGCGTCAACTGCAATCAGTCCAACAGATCTGAAATGGGTATGCCGTGACCTGTTTGTTGACCTCAGGCTGATCGATGTTTGTTCATTGCCGCGGCCTGCCCTAATCGCCTGAAGAGTGGTCACACTCGGGAGAACTGACTAGTGCTCGTAAAATTCAATGGGATTTGAGGTAAAACCATTCGTGAGTGAACCTCACTTTTGGTTACTCTTCTTCAGCCATTGTAAGTCATTCTGACCTCATGTAAGTTGGCTGTTTGGTTTTTGTCCTGCAGTGCAATCTGTAAGCATACCTCGTGTACCCGAATACGGCAGGGCTTAAATCATGTTATCCACTTTTTTTCATCATTGTCCTTCGGCTGTGTTTTGAGGTGAACAGAGCCAATTTTTGATCTATAGAGCGTTTTTTCGTCCTTTTTTACATCAAAATAAGCAGAAGCGAGTTATACTTTCTCATAAACTATGGTCATGGAAGGTATTGAAGTGAGTTTGAAGGAATCTAACCAGATTCCTTATCAGTCTCCCTAGGGCCACCTACATGGAAATCAGTATTAAACAGTTTGTAGTATACGTTGTCTTTTGGATAGACCAAGAGATTTTTGATGTTAGTGAACAGACCTTTAAAGTTTGTCAACATTTCACAACAAAATAGACTTAAACTCCCATTTTTTGCGCATCCCACGACGAGAGAACTCACATTTCCAAGGCGTAAGTCTATCTTAGAGATTATTGCATAGCAAGGCAAATATGCATGGTTATCTGGGAAACAAAGAGGTAACAACGCATTTCTATGATCACGAAAGGGTCGTCCACATGCATTTTCAAATTAAAAAATGCCACTTCTCGCATAATTTTCGTTACTCCTCTGTAAAACGTACATGACTGCTACTAACAGCAAAAATATCTCCTGTGCCATTGAACTTATGATGACCTTGACCGTGAATCGTGAACGTTTGTGATGACGATCATGATAGTGGTGGTGAAGTTGTTGTTGATTATGCCGATGTCGATGCTGCTATTGATAATAATAATTATCATTGTGCCGGCGAGGATGGTGGAATAAGCGGTGCTACTGTTGTTGATGGTGATAGTTGCGGTGACGACAGTGTTTATCCAGAAGTGAACATTTTATTCAGCCTCCTCTTTGTAGTATAAATCACGAAAGGCAGGGGTTTTGAAGGTATCACTTGATGACTGAAGCTTTTCTCAGATGCCCTTGCCAATCTATTCGCACAGACAACCTACTGGACGGACATATAACCAGCTAACACTCATGGCATCCTTCGAATTGGGCACAGGTCTTCTCGATGGCTTCATCCGCTACCGCGGTTATTCCGACGATCCCTATTCAAGCCTGGAGGACTTTGCAGATCGGCTCAATCACTTTGTGTCGTCAATGATCATCCTTGTGCTGGCAGGAGTTACCATGACGGAGGTGTACTTTCTACGACCCATCTCCTGCACTCTGCCTACTACACCCGATGGTCACTTTACCGAATTTGCCGAATCCCTGTGCTGGGTGCAGGGCACGATCGGCCTCAACATTGAAGACGCCCTCCCCAACGACCTCGCGGATTGGGATGAGCTGAGAGAGCGATCAGATATATGTGAGTCTGACACAAAGAAGTTTTGATCAACAGTCACTCGTATGCTTTTAATTCCACATCGTGCATAGTTGAATTTACAGCAGCCCATAGTGTATGCTCAGGGGCTGAAGTGCAGATATAGGTCAAACGCTATGGCGGACAATCACCCATATATACTGTCCTCTTAAAAGCGGAGGTGGTACAGTTAGTGCAGGGATGTGCCTGCACTGAACTATTGCTTCCTGAAGCAAACAGGCGTCTAAGGAGTGGCAAAGATCACGAACAAGGAACAAGCTACCAGGCCTAAGTCGGCTGATCTATAATTGCTGAGAGGGGGGGGGAGACACGCATTCTCACTGAACAAACGCATTTCCGCCCCCATTTGTTGTCTATAATTCCAGACCCTCACAATTCCGATCGGCTTGAAAGTGGGTGGCATGAGCTAGGACATTTAGTTTACGATGGAAGATAGCTGAATCGCAAAGTTGTGTAAAACTATTTCGAACGGCTTGGTCTTTTATGTTCCAGGCAACCATATAGAACTGTCCGTAAATAACAATCGGAAGAATGCGCTTTTTCGGTTTGTCACCATCCAATTAAATCCAGTTCAGTTCAGTTTATTTGAGGAAATTCAGGTGTTGACCATTGTTGCACGCAACAATTGGGAAAGGGAACATCAAACGACTATAGAGAAAAGATATAAAGCGTTAGCAGCATGCAACTTAGTAGATGCATATATAGGTTCATGATGCAGTAGCTAAATTAGGTACACGTATGCCACAGAAGAATTAGCACGAAAATCGATAAATGGGCGCACACAGTCTTGCCTGGTGCACTTATGCTCTGGGAAGGACAGACATCACTAGCCTCGTCCTCACTCTCCTTTGGAGCATTAGAAGAAGGCACAAAAGGTTGACTAACCCAGCTTATACAGCACGCAATAGGCTCTGCAAGCAGTTGCTACAACCTTGCGTGTGTCTGTGTCCGCCGTAGAGATTATTCGACTCCACCGCTTGTAGACTTGCACCTTCACCCAATCAGTAAATGGTGCACGTTGACCGGCCGGTGCCGATATCTTGAAGGGGCGACCATTACTTCAGGCGTAATAATAACAAGGATAAAAAAGCAACAATCCATAACTCATCCTCACCGTCGTCCTCATCTCACTGTTCCCATTTACTCACATTTTCAGCATTCTACCAATGGGTGCCCTTCTGCCTCTCAATCCAGGCCATGCTCTTCTACCTACCCCACCTCATTTGGCAGGCTCTGGCCATCAACAGCCTCGGCGACAACCTGGAATGCCTCCTAAGCAGGGCTAAAAGGGCCAATCAGGTGGATGACGGCGCCGCCCGTCAGAACCTCGTCAACGCCTGCGCAGACCACCTCTGCAAGCTGTCCCGCCAGCACGCCGACAACCGCATC